ATCCAGTAGAACCTTTTCCGAACTGTCTGAAGGGTTTTCTTAACACCAAGATGTCCTCCTGATGAACTGTCGTGTAACTGATGAAGTACTTCGACTACTCTACTCCTTGGAATTACTAACTGTCTTTTGTTCTCGGAACCATCATCATTCTCTAGTACTTTAATAAGCGTTCTTCTAGAATAAAAGAGTCCCACTGAGCTTAATATGACTTCTTTAGCAGATGTGGCCAATCTCTTCCCAAACAAAGTTCCTTGACCTACACCTTCTTTACACTTCGAAGGTTCTACCATAACAGGCGTTCCTTTCTCTACAGTTTCTTGCAACCGCGTTACTCTTATAGTTTCACATCTATCAGGCACCACCGTTCCTTCCTGTACAGCCACCGGTACGGTTTTCCGATTCTTTGGACGTTTGCGCAAACTGCTTATTTTTCCTAATAGTCTTCGGCTGCTTCTCAATAAGGCTTTTTATGATGCGAATCAATTGGTCTAATTTATTTCCCTGTTTGTTCTCTTTTACAGTCCTTACTTTACTGTATCCACTAGAAGTCAGCGAAGCCGCTTCATATTCAAAAGCAGCGGACAAGACATCGACCAGTGTTTTGTAACGGGCTAAACGGAGTGTTCTTTGCAATTTATGGTCACGAAGTCCATCAACAAATGCTTGAAGAGCCAAAAATTCAGTCATGTGTTCCGGAGCTGATGGGTAGGCAAATTGCACTATCTTCACAATATCTAATTAGAATTCTTGAGGGCTCTCTTCACGTTTCTGTTTACGATTCTTCAACTGCTCCAAAAGTTCTTGGCCATATCGCATGTTTAGTCACTTTTTGAGTTGTTCAAATTCACCTGTCTCTTCCACGGGTATTGTCTGAAGAACATCTAAAGCATCTCCTCAAAGGGCGATGGTTAAATTTACTGCATTCACTCGTACAGACTATTCGTTTGTTCTGTCAGCTGTTTTGAACTGTTTATGGTAATTGGTCCATGACACCTTTCCGTCAAAAGTTGGGGCTTTAACACGAGCATAGTTTGCAGCTCCTTCCAATTTCAACTTTGACTCCATCTCATGGCACTTTATTTGACTGTCCTTGCCCGGTTCTGTATGTTCCAGTTCTTCTATCTTCTTTTTTATCTGTTTTGTTTTCTCCTCAATGAAAGACATTATTTTCTTCTAAACAGAAATCTTATTTTCCTACGACCACTTAGGCTAGTGACACATATCACACTATATAGACCTATGGAAAGTGCCCTATATCACACGCGTATGAATAAGAATTTACTTTCCACCCAAGTGAGAATATGCTACTTTCCGCAGTAGCTGTCAGAAAATGTCAAACACATAATTTCTATTTTGATCTATGTAATGTCCATATTAATACTAAAATCGATATGATTGTTAAATTATTGTAAATTAGATCCTAGATATTTATCTTTAACAATTATTTTTAAAATAATTTTAAAATAACTAAGATATATTTGCTTTTTATTCTGGTTAAACACATAAGCGATTAGATCAATCAATTACCGTAAGGCCTGTTAGCTCAGTTGGTTAGAGCATCAACTTTGCATTTGAGACCGTCCAACGACCGCGATCGAATCCTGGCTGTGCCAGAATTTTTTTTTTTATTTTTTTTTTATTTTTTTTTATTTGTTTAGAAATTATGAAAATTTAATAAATACGATTATTGTTGATTATTTTTTTAAATACATTTTAATTATTATAATAATCTGGTTTTACATTTTTTGATGAAATTATTTTGTGGTCGTAGGAAAAATATTGTACATCACTTGTGTGAAAAGTGATTTTCCACACTCGTGTGATAGTCGCACTCGGCTTACGCCTCGTACGACAATATTTCCCACTCGTGTGAAAAATGTCACTTTCCACACTCGTAATGTAATATACTATTTCCACATCAGCAGTTATTTCGGTTTTTAAAGAAGATATGTCAGAAGACAGCTTTTCTTCTAAGAAAGAAACTTTACTATCTAAGGAAAAAATGTCTAAAGAAACTTTAGTTTCTAATGAGGAAATGTTAGAAGAAATATTGGTTTTTAGGGAAGACATTTTACTTTCCAAAGAAGAAATTATAGAAGACGCATCATCAGAAAATAAATACGTTTCCGGATCCAAACCTTGCACAAAGTGCTTCTTCACGCCTCTCTGCCAGCTCTGCTTTTTTCCGTCGTTTTTGTTCACTATTTATTTACAGTTCCACTTCTTACACCAACATAACGTTTGTTTAATTTATTTATAGTTTATTTATTTAAAACATTTTATTTACAATTTTTTTATAACGAACTAATTAATTTATATAATACTTAGGCACTATTATAACTCACAATTCTAATTTATATATTACAATTTATCTTTTCTGTCCAACACTTAATTTGAAACGACAAAGTCGCTGCTATTTTTATAAAATGTAACGGTCTAGAATTAACCAATCCTGCTGGAAGAATCTCGAATCGTTCGCTTTCCCTTTGCGTCAGCGGCATACCTAGAAGATTCCGGTTTCGACCATGAGTCGGGTGGCAGACTTCAAGGTCGCTCTCTACACACTCGCCTTATGGTTTAAGGTGCAAACATACTTAGTAAGTGCGCTTAGAACAAATCGAAAGTATGTACCGAAGAATGTTATAAATGCCAAATTGAAGAGGAACAATTTGGACTGTGCTTCTGTAATCTCAGTCCACAATTTTTCTCCAATTAATTTTGCACTGCATTACTACCAAAAGACTGTAGCTCCATTATGCTTTACGTTTGGGTTTAAGTTATCTAATTTCCTACCAAATCCTACCCTATTTTAAACCAACTATGGTACGGAACACTATTGTGGAAGTACGACTTGCACTTTACCAAATTTGTAAATAGATTTGTAATAATGCAATTGCAATTTGCAATTGAGAAATGTGAAATGTGGCATAATTAAACTGAAAACTTTCAAGCAGTATTTATTAACAAATGTAGGTATCTTACATACCAAATTTTTATATTTTTGCTATCGAACCAACCAACAAAATTTCCTAACATCGCATATCTTAAGACGACAATTTTTCTATATAACAAAAACCATCATTCTCCCCAAGGCCAATACATTACAAACGCAGAAGGTTGGAAAATTTAATATCACCAGCTTGTATACCGCTGTTCTCTCGCAATTCTCCAACTTTCGGTATTTTTCCATTACATCACATTCTCAACGACCGTTGTCTGCACTTATGAAACGCGTGTTCTGTGTCCACTACCGGAGGCTGCTCATAAATTTCGCAGCCAACCAAAAGAAATTTGCCCTCGGTATAATTAGACATAAGGGCTTGTTGGAAAACTAATTGCGTGCGGCAAAAATTTAATAGAGAAAAGGACGGATGTATAAAACGTTCAAATTGCCTTTCTTTTTTCGAGCGGGGGATAGCAATTAGCTCGATTCCAACAGATATACTTAAAAAAAGTATTTTGGTAAGTTTTTGTTTCAAAAGATAATAAATGTTGCTTTTTTTGTTAAATCCTTTCAATGAAAATACTTTAGCGGCTTCCATTTTAACCTTGACATATACAGTAAACAGAGATTACCTCTAAATGATACTGAAAAAAAAAAAAACAAATATTTCATTTAATATTGAAATTTACATAAAACTACAAAAATTATTGAAAATGTCCCATTTAGATCTAAACACAAACCAGCCTCTCTGCAATCCAGCAAAAACGTTATGCAACATTGACATTGAGTTGTTGATCTTTTCACAATTTTCTGATATGCGATTTTTTAGTTCTTTCAGATTATGAATTGGTGTTGAAAAACTTTTTAATTTAAAAAAAACAAATGAATCACATAATTATGTCGTGATAAATATGTAAAAGTACGAGTACAACCAGTCTTTTCTGATTCATCGCAGTGAAGAAAACTCTCACAACTTTCATTGCTTATACTAGCAAAGAACTTGAAGAAGAGTATGAGTTGTTGGGTAAATGTTTTTGTCATACTCATTTTAGATATCTGTTGCTGGTTTACTTAAAGTTTTGTAACAATACTTGCTCTACTTTACCACTTTTGTTGCCATTACCCGATTTCTCCTTTTAACTTCATTACAAGCAAATTTATATTTATCCAACTTTTCGTTTGTTAAACTTACAATGAAATTAGAAAGCAATAAAGGCAATTCGAGAGCATATCCAAAACATCTTTTGAAAATCTTGTTTTCAAATCTGCACATATTGATGCTGTCCAGATTTTCAATTTTTCTTTTTTAAATTTGTCTTTTTGTGCAATAATTCAGTGTTTTAACTCTTGAAACGTTAGTTAGACGATTTACTGTCGATTCTTATCTGTATTAATTTAATATTAGTAAAATAAGGATTTACATCACAGACACTGATTATTATTGGATATAATTTTTTATGTATGTACACCAGTTTCAATTCATTTTTTAATATTTTTATCGGGAGACCATTCCCCTAAATATACTGTAAAGCAGGGGCGGCTCGTAACCAAAATATAGGTAAAAAACTGTCAGTGTTTTAGAAAGATATATTATAAACTTTCTAAAACACTGAAAGTTTTTTTATACATCTGTACTGATATCCATATTCTGTCACTGTGAATCACCCCACGAGCCGCCACTGCTGTAAAGGACAGATTTAAAGAAAAATGCAATTATATAATGATAATATAAATAGTGTTTGTTTAATTTAAATATAGTTTATTTATTAAAAACAGTTTATTTATCCTACCATATTAAAGTGCCAATGTGATTTTGTACTTTTGTGGTTCCCGAGATATAGAATTCGGTCGAAAATTTAAATGAACGAAATCGCCTAGATGTCAAAGATTACAAATTACGGCCTACAATATTAAAGTGCCAATATTTGTCTGTTATAAACACACTTTTTAATCAATAATCGATCAACTATGAATTTCTCGATGATTCAGCTTCCGGAACACAAAGAATATGCGAGTAGAAGAAGATGAAGTTGAATGGGCCAAAAAGATGTTAGCGATGGGAGATGGACAATTCCCTACCAACGATGAAATCAAATTGATCGATAACTTTAAATCAACAGGAGACCTGGTAGAAGATGTGTATGGAACATGCTTTGCAAATTATGCCAACTGGGAACAAGAAGTCCTTCATCGAGCCATCTTGACACCTTTGAATGCGACATCAGCATTGTACAATGATACAGTACATCAACGAATATCTGAAAATAAAGTCGCCTATACCAGTATTGATACCGTGAAAGACCAAGTTGGAGAGGTGGACTTCTCAAATGAATACTTACGGAGCAGAAATCCGGCAGATCTACCTTCACACAAATTAAAGTGCTCATACGAAATATACGTGTAATTGAAAATCTTCCTAATGGGACACGTTTAATTGTAACCAAATCTCATCGTGCCCAAAATCGTGACTGGAGAATACAAAGGAATAGTTGCCTACATTCCACGAATGGGGACGGTGTAGCGGTCTATCGCGCTTATATTAATTTATAGGCAAGTTTATGAGTCTGAGACTGCTGGGTTTCGAATCCCAGACCAGACCATGTGGATTTTTAATTAAATTGCATGGTTCGGTTTAGGATTTGATGTGTGGCGTATTAATAGAAATTCAATTTCTGTTGATATGACATGCAGATTAAAAAAATTCGCCATACATTACCGTCTCGATGATGGTGGGTGAGGTTTTCCGGGTTTTCCTCACCTGCAAGTCAAATGGCACCATCAATCATCTTTAAGTCGCCCCGGAGCGCCACGGCAAATAATAATAATAGCCGTCCCGTCCCCTACACAAGTCGTTCAGTCGACTTCAGGGGTTGAAATTCACTCGTAAGGGGGTGAATTAGGGAGCGTATTATTATTATTATTATTATTATTATTATTATTATTATTATTATTATTAATTATTATTATTATTATTATTATTATTATTATTATTATTATTATTATTATTATTATTATTATTATTATTATTATTATTATTATTATTATTATTATTATTATTATTATTATTATTATTATTATTATTATTATTATTATTATTATTATTATTATTATTATTATTATTATTATTATTATTATTATTATTATTATTATTATTATTATTATTATTATTATATTATTATTATTATTATTATTATTATTATTATTATTATTATTATTATTATTATTATTATTATTATTATTATTATTATTATTATTATTATTATTATTATTATTATTATTATTATTATTATTATTATTATTATTATTATTATTATTATTATTATTATTATATTATTATTATTATTATTATTATTATTATTATTATTATTATTATTATTATTATTATTATTATTATTATTATTATTATTATTAATTATTATTATTATTATTATTATTATTATTATTATTATTATTATTATTATTATTATTATTATTATTATTATTAATTATTATTATTATTATTATTATTATTATTATTATTATTATTATTATTATTATTATTATTATTATTATTATTATTATTATTATTATTATTATTATTATTATTATTATTATTATTATTATTATTATTATTATTATTATTATTATTATTATTATTATTATTATTATTATTATTATTATTATTATTATTATTATTATTTATTATTATTATTATTATTATTATTATTATTATTATTATTATTATTATTATTATTATTATTATTATTATTATTATTATTATTATTATTATTATTATTATTATTATTATTATTATTATTATTATTATTATTATTATTATTATTATTATTATTATTATTATTATTATTATTATTATTATTATTATTATTATTATTATTATTATTATTATTATTATTATTATTATTATTATTATTATTATTATTATTATTATTATTATTATTATTATTATTATTATTATTATTATTATTATTATTATTATTATTATTATTATTATTATTATTATTATTATTATTATTATTATTATTATTATTATTATTATTATTATTATTATTATTATTATTATTATTATTATTATTATTATTATTATTATTATTATTATTATTATTATTATTATTATTATTATTATTATTATTATTATTATTATTATTATTATTATTATTATTATTATTATTATTATTATTATTATTATTATTATTATTATTATTATTATTATTATTATTATTATTATTATTATTATTATTATTATTATTATTATTATTATTATTATTATTATTATTATTATTATTATTATTATTATTATTATTATTATTATTATTATTATTATTATTATTATTATTATTATTATTATTATTATTATTATTATTATTATTATTATTATATTATTATTATTATTATTATTATTATTATTATTATTATTATTATTATTATTATTATTATTATTATTATTATTATTATTATTATTATTATTATTATTATTATTATTATTATTATTATTATTATTATTATTATTATTATTATTATTATTATTATTATTATTATTATTATTATTATTATTATTATTATTATTATTATTATTATTATTATTATTATTATTATTATTATTATTATTATTATTATTATTATTATTATTATTATTATTATTATTATTATTATTATTATTATTATTATTATTATTATTATTATTATTATTATTATTATTATTATTATTATTATTATTATTATTATTATTATTATTATTATTATTATTATTATTATTATTATTATTATTATTATTATTATTATTATTATTATTATTATTATTATTATTATTATTATTATTATTATTATTATTATTATTATTATTATTATTATTATTATTATTATTATTATTATTATTATTATTATTATTATTATTATTATTATTATTATTATTATTATTATTATTATTATTATTATTATTATTATTATTATTATTATTATTATTATTATTATTATTATTATTATTATTATTATTATTATTATTATTATTATTATTATTATTATTATTATTATTATTATTATTATTATTATTATTATTATTATTATTATTATTATTATTATTATTATTATTATTATTATTATTATTATTATTATTATTATTATTATTATTATTATTATTATTATTATTATTATTATTATTATTATTATTATTATTATTATTATTATTATTATTATTATTATTATTATTATTATTATTATTATTATTATTATTATTATTATTATTATTATTATTATTATTATTATTATTATTATTATTATTATTATTATTATTATTATTCAAGACTTTTTTATATTTACAAAATAGTATTTGTTTCGTATCTACTTTATTTGTCTTTTTTAATTTTTATCTTATATTTTGTATTTGTATTTGTCTTTTTAAATTTTTATCTTATATTTTATATTATATTTTTATCTGTAATAGTTTACTACCATTGTACTGTGACGTAAAATACAAAAACCATGTAATTAAGTCAATAAACATATCTATCTATCTATCTATCTATCTATTATTATTATTATTATTATTATTATTATTATTATTATTATTATTATTATTATTATTATTATTATTATTATTATTATTATTATTATTATTATTATTATTATTATTATTATTATTATTATTATTATTATTATTATTATTATTATTATTATTATTATTATTATTATTATTATTATTATTATTATTATTATTATTATTATTATTATTATTATTATTATTATTATTATTATTATTATTATTATTATTATTATTATTATTATTATTATTATTATTATTATTATTATTATTATTATTATTATTATTATTATTATTATTATTATTATTATTATTATTATTATTATTATTATTATTATTATTATTATTATTATTATTATTATTATTATTATTATTATTATTATTATTATTATTATTATTATTATTATTATTATTATTATTATTATTATTATTATTATTATTATTATTATTATTATTATTATTATTATTATTATTATTATTATTATTATTATTATTATTATTATTATTATTATTATTATTATTATTATTATTATTATTATTATTATTATTATTATTATTATTATTATTATTATTATTATTATTATATTATTATTATTATTATTATTATTATTATTATTATTATTATTATTATTATTATTATTATTATTATTATTATTATTATTATTATTATTATTATTATTATTATTATTATTATTATTATTATTATTATTATTATTATTATTATTATTATTATTATTATTATTATTATTATTATTATTATTATTATTATTATTATTATTATTATTATTATTATTATTATTATTATTATTATTATTATTATTATTATTATTATTATTATTATTATTATTATTATTATTATTATTATTATTATTATTATTATTATTATTATTATTATTATTATTATTATTATTATTATTATTATTATTATTATTATTATTATTATTATTATTATTATTATTATTATTATTATTATTATTATTATTATTATTATTATTATTATTATTATTATTATTATTATTATTATTATTATTATTATTATTATTATTATTATTATTATTATTATTATTATTATTATTATTATTATTATTATTATTATTATTATTATTATTATTATTATTATTATTATTATTATTATTATTATTATTATTATTATTATTATTATTATTATTATTATTATTATTATTATTATTATTATTATTATTATTATTATTATTATTATTATTATTATTATTATTATTATTATTATTATTATTATTATTATTATTATTATTATTATTATTATTATTATTATTATTATTATTATTATTATTATTATTATTATTATTATTATTATTATTATTATTATTATTATTATTATTATTATTATTATTATTATTATTATTATTATTATTATTATTATTATTATTATTATTATTATTATTATTATTATTATTATTATTATTATTATTATTATTATTATTATTATTATTATTATTATTATTATTATTATTATTATTATTATTATTATTATTATTATTATTATTATTATTATTATTATTATTATTATTATTATTATTATTATATATTATTATTATTATTATTATTATTATTATTATTATTATTATTATTATTATTATTATTATTATTATTATTATTATTATTATTATTATTATTATTATTATTATTATTATTATTATTATTATTATTATTATTATTAATTATTATTATTATTATTATTATTATTATTATTATTATTATTATTAATTATTATTATTATTATTATTATTATTATTATTATTATTATTATTATTATTATTATTATTATTATTATTATTATTATTATTATTATTATTATTATTAATTATTATTATTATTATTATTATTATTATTAT